TGTCGCTGATCCTTCTTGGCAACTCTTCTGCAAGTTGCCTTGGCAGAGAAAGCAAAAACAAATTGGCAGGAAGAGGTCTGACTACTGGTGTGGCTTCTTTTTTTCCAGCCAGAGCCGAGGCAAAAGATTATTTTCAGGTGAGCAAGAGAGCAGGCAGCACTAGAGTTGGAAGCAGAGGTGCCCTTTATAATGGTCTTTTCCAAGGAGATTCCAAAAATGAAACTGGTTGTGTTGAAGCCTGCCTGATGCTTACCTGCCTATTGGTCTGCTGTTTGCCTATCTTTCTCTGGCCATGTCTGCACGGACCAGAATACTTTGGAGACAGCCTGGAGTACTTTGGCCATGGAGCTGGCCCAGTGTCCCCTCATTACCTGGCATTCCCATTGCAACACTGGGTGGCTGTTTGCACATGCATCTCCACTGTGTTGCCTGGAGAGGCAACCACCACCAAGCATTGCTTGCTCTCATATCAGAATGAGCCAACCTTATGCTCTCAGAGCAAACAGCACATGGCAGCTGCATTGGGTGGCACAGCAAGAGACATTGTAAACAGCCATCCGGTGTTGCAACTGAGGGCTCCAGATCTTCCTGGTAGATCCAGAGTAAAAGGTGAGATTATTTAATTTGTCATAAGGATAGTGGTGGGGAACCATACCCTAGTTTTGGTATGAACAGGTTAGATGTCATCCGAACTGTTCACACCAGAACCATGGTTTGGGCCACGCATCATCTGGACTCTATCAAGAGGACAGGGAAGACATTTTATTTGGCCCTTGCAGGGCCTTTCTCTCCCTATCTATCTATCTATCTATCTATCCATCCCTTTTTGGAAGATGTGCAGGGAACTTACCCTGGTGCTCTGTTCCACAACACACACACACAAACACACACCGGCAGTGGGATGTGCTGCTTTTGCTTTTCACTGGTGGGAAGGGGAGGGATGGGGGGGGGCAAGTCAGACCTTGAAGCTATGGCTGCTCTGGGTTCCTAGGAGAAGGAAAAGGGTGCATCTGGTTTCTTTCCCTGACAAGCTGAGTACTTTGCTACTTTGTGGTCTGAATAGCCTTCCAATCCTTTCCTGTCTGCTGGTAAGCAGCAGGGGCCCCTCACAGAGATTGACAACTGTCAAGGTAGGACATGGGGAGGACATGGAATGGTGTGGATGGAGCAATGCTCCAATGTGGGATCTTGGCTTATGTATGCATGCATAATACAACTATTTTTAATTGTATGCATAGTCTTCCTTTCTCCAGTAAACTCAAGCTACCCAGTATAGCTTTTCTCCATTCTACTCCATATTTAATGGAGAGTTAATGATATCTCCTACCCTTGCTGCAGTGGATTGCAGCAGTCACCCACCTTGTTCTCTCTCTCTTGGAATGGGAAAGGCAAGGCTATGGCCTTGCTTTTCCCCACCCAGGGATCTGTCTGGTCCTCAGCTGTTGCTGCTGTGTTTGTGAAGAAGCTGTTTGTTCTCTGTTCTGACAGCAGCTGCTCTCAAGGTGTCGGCGCTGAAGGAAGAACAAACAGGTTGTTTGTAAAGATAGCCTGGACGACAGAAGAAGACCAGATTGGTGGGAGAGGGATGACAAGATGCAGTGGCGGCTTCTCTCCCTTTCCCCTCCCCATGCCACTTCCAACCTGAGCTCTAGACAGGTAATGATGAAAGGAACAAAGCTGTAGTCCTACGTGCTTTTGCAGTTTCCTAGGTTTCTTCACTGGGGCTGATGGAGGGAGGGGAAGGTGGAATTACCAGAGGCCAAGCCAAGAGGTCACACAACCTCTCCCTGGTTAAGGTCTAGATCAAGGGGAGGGAAAGTGTGGCCATGGGGCCCGCCACTATCATTTTAATGGCCCTTGAAGCCTCTGCTGTAACCCCAAAGCCACCCAACTTCTAATTTCTAACTTTTATGGTGCAATACTGGGACAATTTTCAAATCTTGCACAATGCAATTTTGCAAAGGGATTCTGGTTTGTTTGTGCAGGGCACCCTTGTTAAACAGAACCACTTAGCTGGCCATGGAGATTTCTTGCATTATCAACCAGAGACCTGCCGCTAGGTGCTTCCTTACCTTTTGCCCACTTCTGTTTTAGATGATCAGCCTGAGAAGAAGAAACTGTCTGTCTATTCCTGGTTATATGCTGAGCAATGTTAGTTCCATCAACTTGGCTTTTGTTTGAGGGGATAAGCATGTTCAATGCAATACTGTCTCCAGGGTGGCTGAGATGTCATCGCTGAGAGTGGCAAGAGAAATGGATGCTTTGGTAATTGAAAGAGTGATTGCCTGATGTTAGCCATCTAGTGCAAATGTTGGTTCTCATCTCTATAATTATGGTAACTGGCCAGCAGGAAAAAAAATTAATTAGAAGCTGCCTAATACTCTTTTGAGAGAGAGCTTCTGTAATAATACTGGGTATAGCAAACCTTACAGCATCATTCCAGGCTGACATGGAAAGTGGTGAGCATAATGGTGGACAGGCTGTTCCAGCACCCTGCTTCCCACATCTGCCAACCCAAAGCCTCTAGGAACCCCACAAGCAGAATATAAGTTGTGTTGTCCAGTGCTGGGCACCACAATCTAAGAAGAATGTTGTCAAGCTGGAGTGTGTCCAAAGGAGGGTGACCAAAATGGCGAAAGGTCTTTGAACCACCAAGCCCTCTAGGGAGCTAGGTATGTTTAGCCTGGAGAAGAGATGGTTGAGAGGGGACATGAAAGCCATGTTCCAATATTTGAAGGGAGGTCACACTGAGGATGGAGCAAGCTTGTTTTCTGCTGCTTCAGAGAATAGGACATGGAGTCTCAATGAATCCAAGATACAGGGAAAGAGATTCCACCTAAACGTTAGGGAGAACTTTCTTGGTAGTAACAGCTGTTTGAGAGTGGAATATGCTGGTGGTATGATAGTTTTACAAAGTCTTTAGTCTTCTCTGCCAAAAGGTGCTGGTGCCTTTCAAAATTACAAATCCCAGGATTCTGTAGGAATTCTGATGGAGGATTCTATAGGATTCTGGTGGAGCCATGGCAATTAAAGTGGTGTCAGACTGCATTCTTTCTATAGTGTAGATGCATGCCGGAAGGTCTTGGCTTGCTAGCAAATGGGAAAGAGAGATGGGGGCCAACTGAACCTCCTGCAAGAGGGAGTTCCATAATCTGGGAGCAGCCACCAAGAAGGCTCTGGCATCCATGTCATCTCCAAACATGCCTATGATGATGTTGGACCAAGAGCGAGATCTTCCTCAAGATATTAAAACTCTGACATGCTCATACAAGAAGAAACATAGCATAATGTTATTATTGAAATTGAAATAGAACCCCTTCATTATTTGGATCAGTGTTTCCCAAACTTTGGTCCTCCAGATGTTTTGGGCTTCAGCTCCTAGAATTCCTGATTGTTGGTCAAATTGGCTGAAGCTTCTGGGAGCTGAAGTCCAAAATATCTGGAGGATTAAAGTTTGGGAAACTGATTTAGATCAACTGTGGAAGAAGGGAGACAAACTCTTCATGGGCCTTATTGGCACTACTGACATGACCACAAATGACACCATGTCAGTTATGGATTTGTTTTCAGCCAATTTTGGGTTGATTTTTGAGATTTTTCTGTGTGTTTCAGTGTCTTGGGGGCAAAATCATTGTGTTTTGCAGCAGTTTTAAGCATTTTGGGGCTGTTTGGTGGGTTAAAAATATCCCCTGACTTATATGAATAGAAATAGTTGTGCAAATTTTGAATATTGTGGCTTGTGCCTCTGTGCTAGCTGCTGTCTCATGCTCCCATCACATCAAAATAGGATTAGAATTACAGTTGTAATGTAAAACACTTATCTGTAATTCTACACTTGACACCTTTAGTTTCATCCTCTTCAAAAGATGTTTGATGTATTCCATGTAAGATAACAAAAGCTCAAAATCCCTATGTAAGGTCTTGCGTTTGGGATGCAAGATGGTGATTAAACTTCTTCCAGTTGCTTGCACCTGCATTGCAGTGTCCAACACTCAAAGCGCTGCATCACACGGGTTACTTTCGGATAGCATTTCGAAAAGCTATGGAGCAAGTAATCTTCTGTGTAAGACAATATCTCACATCACTGCAGTTCTTGGTCTTTCCTTTTCTCAATTCTTTGTATGGGGATGAGTGCTTTAGGCCTGCTGGGCACTAAGGAGGACTTAAGGGAGTTGTCCGAAATGTGGGTTTTGCTGAGCTCTCTTTGGTTTACTCTCCTTGGAATTGCAAAGAGACTATGATGCTAAGTATGGCTGGCATTTTTGCTCCAGCGCAGGTTGCACACAGTGTCCGACAAAGCGGTTTCCTCCTATACTTTGCAGCGCTTTAACGTTGCCGAGACCCATCGGTAACATCATATTCTTTCGACTTTATTGCCTCGGAGGGGAGAAGACAAAGGTAATGATGGAGTTAAAATGAGATTTCACAGACATACCGCCCTTCCCACACTGATATTGTCCGACTGTTAATAAACTCTGGCAGCTGTGCAAATGAACGTGCAGGTAATTCAACTGTCCTGCTTGTGAGCTGCGCCCAGGGACTTCGTGTCTTTGCATCTGTTTCCATGGCAATTAGGATGAGATTAGATTTTGGGGTCCATGGTAGGAAAATGAGAGAAGGCTGAGCTGGGATGCTGCTGGGTTTATTTGGCTGGGACGTATTGCGCCTGATGCCTTTACAAAAAGGAAGAGACACATTCCACATATTTGCTGGGTTTTTGCATCCTGCTGTTCCATTCTCTGGAAATGTGTTTATCTTTCCTCCGGCAGAAAGTCTGTTATGAGCTTTGTACTGTTACAGGTTTGTGATTTTGGCTTCTGCCTGGCAAGGTTTGGAAGAATCTCCCTCTCTCCTACTAACCAAGTATTTAGTCATGTTTAAAATGTTGTTTCTGACATACAGCAACCTTAAGGTTAAGATTGGTTCAGAGGAGGTTTGCCTTTGCATTCCCCAGAGGCTGAGAGCATGTGACTTGCCCAAGGTCACGCAGTGGGTTTCATGGCCAAGGAAGGAATCGAACCCTAGTCTCCAAAGTTGTAGTCTAACACTCAAACCACTATTCCATGTTGGCTCTCCAATAAAACTAAAGCTAAAGCTAGACTTACTACTAACTAGACCCTGGAGACCATGGTTCAAACTCTGGGTTGGCCATAGAAACCCACTGTTGGGCAAGTCACACTCTCTCAGCCAACCCCCTTCTGAAAACATCTGTCAAGAAAACCCATGATAGGTGTGCCTTGGGATCACCATAAGTCTCCATAAGTTGGAAAGATTTATTCAGAGGAGGTTTGCCATTGCCTTCCCTGAGGTTGAGAGAGTGTGACTAGCCTAAGATCACCCAGTGAGTTTCATGGCTGAGCTGGGAATCGAACCTTGAACTCCAGAGTCATAGTCTTAGCACTCAAAGCATTATGCCATGTTAGCTCTCCATGCTTAGAATACAAATTAAATAAAAACAAACTCAGGGTGCGTCTACAGTACTGTCGAAGTAATGCAGTTTGGCACCATTTCAACTGCCATGTCTCCATCCTGCCTCATCCTGGGAATGGTAGTTTAGTGGCAAACCAGCCCTCTTTGGCAGAGAAGGCTAGAGGCCTTGTAAAACTACAAATCCCTGGGTCTTAAAGGATGACGCTACAGCACTCCAACTGCAGTGCAGATTAGATCTTGGTTGAAAGAGATGCAACTCTTAACAAGTTTTGGCAAAGAGAAGACACGAATTGGGACTGTGCTGAGAGCTCTGAACAGACGCAAAGAGGTGCATATGGGCGGAAGCGTTATTGTCGGAGAAAGGAGATTAGTTTATTATTATCCGTGTTCTCCGCGCGCATATTTTTAGGACAATTAAAAATGACTGGCAGCCGAACCCTGTTTGGAAAGGGCATTGCTCTCTCTGTGTGCATGAGTGTCTGTGTTGACATCTGCTTTCTCTCTCCTCTTTCCTCCCTCCCTTTCCTTTCTTTTCCTTTTTGGTTCTCCTGGTTTAATGAGATGACAAATGTTATCTTGATGAAATCTGGCAGAAATATTTCTGTCCTCTCTCTCAATGCCTGTGAAACACTTTCGCTCGGCATCTCTTAATTGTTGTCAAGTGAGTTTGAGAGAGGCGAAACCGAGAGAGGCTGGCCTTCCTTATTCATATTCTTGCATCAAGCAACTGTCAGCCATCAGATGTTTCCAGAAAGGAAGGCTCTGGGGGCAGCTTGCTTCCTTCAAAACTCTGCTTCAGCCTTCTGGGTATTTTGGACTGTAGCTCCCATCATCCACAGAGAAGATACCCTTGGTCCAAACCATCTTTTCCGGGAAGCCTTTGGCATAAAGCCTAGTTTATTCTTCAAGCGGAGATGTAGCTACCAGGAGGGCATTGCCTCCTTCAAATAAAGTTGTTGTTGTTGTGTGCATGCAAGACATTTCTGGCTTATGGTGACCCTAAGGCAAACCTATTGCAGGGTTTTCTTGGCAAGATTTGTTCAAAGGGGTTTGCTTTTGCCTTCCTCTGGGGCTGAGAGTGTGCTACTTCCAGGCTATAAGGGTTGTATAAGGTGTATATGAGACATAAATCAATGTTGTGTTTCAACTTGAGTCTCATCTCCAATATATCTCCTTATGTGCGTATATAGGCAAATTGTTGTTGTTGTTGGGTGCTTCCAAGTCATTTCCAAGCCGTCTTAGGGCGACCCTATTACAGTATTTTCTTGGCAGGTTTCTCTAGAGGGGGCTTGCCATTGTCATGCCAGTGAATTTGAGCCAGGATTTGAATCCTGGCCTCCAGAATCATAGTCCAGTGCTCAAACCACTACCGCACACTGGCTCTATATATGCAAATACAGGTATACAGTCCAACAAAATCCAAAAATCCCAAGCATTTTGGATAAGGGAAGCTCAACCTTTATTCCTTTCCTCAACCAGAACTTGGCATGCTATTTTATGAATGCATATAATTCCCCTCTGCAGTTAGTTGTGTGATGCTCTTGCCACATCTCTGCACATTGAGAGGACCCTTCCAACA